TTAAGACAAATTGCTCGAACTTAATTATTAACAATTTTAGATAAGTTTATTTTTGTAAACTTGATTTTTGAGGAATTTGAAATTTTGCCAATGATTCGTCATTCGCTCTCAAATATTTCAAATATTATAAATATTTTCAATGCTATTATAAATATATAATTTGTAATTTATCATTATATAAATGTGTATAATGGTTGACACGGGGTATTCTAATATTGTCTAGGGTTGACACTAAGAAATGTGTGCATCACAAGTGTTACCATATTACTAATAAGCATTATTCAAAATTGTTATATGATGTATTTATTAACAATTGAAATGCCATCCTGTCATTTTTTTTTTAATTTTATTTGAACAGCGATCAGAACTTATGGGTTCTATGAGCTGTTGTGATTAATATCTTACAAACTACGTTTGTTTTTTATTACAGATGGCAACCCAAACAGTTGTCACATCTTTGTATGATAAATTTTTATTACAATCTCTGTAATAGGGCAAGTATGGTGCAACAATGCCGGGTGATGGCTATTTTCACTTGGAAACATATTGCTATTTCTATTTCCAGGTGAAAATCGTTGTCACTGTTGCCTGACAACAGGCTGCTCGAAGTGGGTATCGAACCCGGGACCTCTGAAACAAGTCCCATCGCTCTCAACCACTTACCTCCGGGCGAGCCCACCATCCTGTCATAATAAAAAAGTTTTATTTCAATCGCTTGTGAACCTTAGGCGCACTCTTTTTATATTTATGAACATTTCATTATTAATTATACAATTTTATTAATAAACATTATTCAAAATTGTTATATGATGTATTTATTAACAACTGAATTGCCATCCTGTGATAATAAAAAAGTTTTACTTCAATCGCATGTGAACCTTACGCGCACTCTTTTTATATTTATGAACATTTAATTATTAAATATACCATATTACTAATAAACATTATTCAAAATTGGTATATGATGTATTTATTTACAATTAAAATGGCATCTTGTGATAACAAAAAAGTTTTACTTCAATCGCGTGTGAACCTTACGCGCACACTTTTTATATTTATGAACATTTCATTATTAATTATACAATTTTACTAATAAACATTATTCAAAATTGTTATATGATGTATTTATTAACAATTGAAATGCCATCCTGTAATAACAAAAAAGTTTTACTTCAATCGCGTGTGAACCTTACGCGCACTCTTTTTATTTTTATATTTATATTTATAAGATATGTTTGTGTTATATTTGAAAATATATTTTGTGCTTCGTATGTTTTTTTCTCATTTCGGTTTTCTTATTTTGAATTAGGTTTACGAACCATATCTAGGAATAATACCAGCGGTTAATTTATATACTGTACAAGTGCTGTCATCTTCAGATCGCTGCATAAATTAAATGGAGGTAACGTCAAATGGCCTGAGATAGCGATATATTTATGTTTATTTATCTATGCTGTGGACAATCTTTGACACGGCTCTAAACACCGGATTAACAAAGTGCTGAAACGAAAAAATCACGGTACCAACATTCAAAAAATCAGAAATTCTTCTGAGCAGGCATACCAACAGCAGAGCATTCATATATGTCAAAACATTTGTCGCAACTGTCGAAACTTAACCTCAATTTCTCATTTTGGTGTTTAGTAATAATTTTTCATTCAGTCAGAAATTTGTTGCAATATTGGATTTTTGTTATGTATGGTAGATTTCAATTGAAGAACACTGGTAAACGTCAACTATTTTGTGTGCATAAATTTGCTTGATCACAAAAATGTATAATTACGTAAGCCAAACACTGCTACATTTACAATCTTTCGTATTTATTATATCAAGATTACGTGTATGATACAATATCAAAATTAATTTTTTTTACCATTTCTTATATCTGTTCCATACTAGTGTGCAATATAATTGTTGAAAACTTCAAATATTGTTGACTACAAATGATTGAATTTTAGAACACAATCTTTATTATCAGAATAAGTGCATTATTCAAATCCAGGACTGTTCCAGTTTTTAACAGTAGTTTAAACTGTAGGATGCAACATTGAATAACTGAAAACTTTTAGATCACATAATTTTGCTACTGAAACAAACTAATTTTTTTTAAAAAAAAGATAAAGCATAATTGTGGTAATATTTTTTATTGAATGTGAATTAAATATATAGTTATTTACAATAAATAGTTTACGAGTTAAAATCTATTTACACAATGTTAATATTAATGAGTAAAGCATGGCGTGAAAGAAAATTAGAAAACAAATTGTACCACATACCAGTAGAACACACAACCACATACCAGTCGAACACAATTCTTCATGATTCAAAACTTATTATTAGTAATGTTATAATAAATAAATCAAATATTCACAATTTAAAACCTATCACTATAAAATGTAATAATAAATAAATCATATTTACAATTAAAGCCTATTACCATAATGTAATAATAAATAAAAATATATCGACAATTCAAAACGTATCACCGTAATGTAACAATTAATATCATATTTACAATTTAAAACCTATTACCGTAAAGTAACAATAAATAAATCATATTGACAATTCAAAACCTATTACCATAATATGAAAAGAAATATCATATTTACAATTTAAAACCTATTACCGTAAAGTAACAATAAATAAATCATATTGACAATTCAAAACCTATTACCATAATATGAAAAGAAATATGTATGATTATAATTTAAAACTTATCTCCGCAATATAGCTGTTAATAAATGTTATTCACATTAGAAATTTGAAAGATAGAATTGAAATGATAATATAAACAAATGAAACCAAATACCATAAATTGTGAGAGAAGAACTTTGTTGCATCATTAGATACACAAAATGCTCATTTCAACAATAGTGAGTTGTTACACAAACATACCACTCAAGTTGATTAAAAAGTAAAGCAACATAAATTATATAACATTACAGGTCAAATCCAACTCCAAATAAATCATAATATAGTTATAATTAGTCACAGAGTTATACATTTAATATTAGCAAAATAACATGTTTTATATGTTTATGTTTAAATTTACTGCTTTTGAATATAGTAATGCCAATATATGAATGTTCATTTTCTCATTGTAAAAAAAATAATGATTATAATTTGAATTTGAAGAATTTGTGAATATGAATATATGAACATTTTCATTTATATTTAGATGCAATATCAACTTGAAAAAATAACAATTAAAACATACGATGATATTGTAAGTTGATTATTAATTATACTAGAAACAATAGTTTCCAATATCCAACATCCATTTCCAATCCATTCCTTTTGGATTAATTCTGTTTATGATTAATGTATATATTATTTTTTCTGTTACTTATATCACAAATATTGTTGAAATAAGACTGAACTGATGATATTTTCAATATCCACCTATATGTTCCAATTCTATTTATGTCATATGCCAATAGTTGTAATCATAAATATTGTGTATTTTATGGTTCACAATACAACTACTCGATCGATTATTTAGTAATCAATTTTTTGTAATATGTCCTAGTACTATTATTAGAGGTCCTTCACAAATTTTAGTGTAGCTATTTTGATCTATTATTGTTAATGCAAGTATGTATTATGATGTGCTGTGTATTATTAGCTCTTTTATTTTTGCAATTTTGATCTAATATTGTGAATGTATGTATGTATTATGATGTGCTGTGTATTATTAGAAGCTCTTATTTTTGCCATTCTGATCTAATATTGTGAATGTATGTATGTATTATGATGTGCGGTGTATTATTAGAAGCTCTTATTTTTGCCATTCTGATCTAATATTGTGAATGTATGTATGTATTATGATGTGCTGTGTATTATTAGAAGCTCTTATTTTTGCCATTCTGATCTAATATTGTGAATGTATGTATGTATTATGATGTGCGGTGTATTAATAGAAGCTCTTTTATTTTTGCCATTCTGATCTAATATTGTGAATGTATGTATGTATTATGATGTGCGGTGTATTAATAGAAGCTCTTTTATTTTTGCCATTCTGATCTAATATTGTGAATGTATGTATGTATTATGATGTGCTGTGTATTATTAGAAGCTCTTATTTTTGCCATTCTGATCTAATATTGTGAATGTATGTATGTATTATGATGTGCGGTGTATTAATAGAAGCTCTTTTATTTTTGCCATTCTGATCTAATATTGTGAATGTATGTATGTATTATGATGTGCGGTGTATTAATAGAAGCTCTTTTACTTTTGCCATTCTGATCTAATATTGTGAATGTATGTATGTATTATGATGTGCGGTGTATTATTAGAAGTTCTTTTATTTTTGCCATTCTGATCTACTATTGTTAATGCAAGTATGTATTATGATATGCTGTGTACTATTAGAAGCTCTTTCATTTTAGCTATCCATGCTTCATGATTGTTTATACTCATAATCTTCCTTATTCGTTTTAATGCTTTGCAAGTCATTATATACTATAGACTACAGTATTTCTTTAAAATAATTTTACTTATATATCTCTTAAACAAGTTCTTATTAATTAATATTCATATTAGCATTACAAATTCAAAAGTTAGACCTTGTGTCACAAAAATAAAATATGTGAAAATCAGCTAATATTAAATGAGATTCAATAACCAAATATATTACAAACACATGTTAGCAAAAAAAAGTTGTAAATAAACTTGGAAGCATCTATTTAATAACTAAAGAGCATTAGTGAGAGTAAGAATTAAAATTAAAATAATGAAGCCGATAATGAGACTTGATGTTTATACATATGCCAGTATTTCAAAATGATATTAAATATTTATGATATAAAATTTTTACCAGTTAGAATTCGAATTATTGAAATTTATTTAATATACATATATAAGTATTTATATAATATTTTCCAATATTAAATTATTAGCTTTAAATATGAAATATATATGGATCACTAAGAAATGTGCTTATTAGAAAACCTATTGACATTATTATAAGCAGTATACGTAGTGCTGCACGTGATAATATGCTACCCCGCAGGGCTTCCTTGATCACAAGAAAGGATATATGGTACATCAAAAAACGTGTTTTACCACCACATATGACATACAGAAATCCTAATGATCAAGTAAGCGTGAGACTATGGGTCAGAGAGAAGCAACTTGAGAAAAAGTTCCAAGTTCTGTTTTATAAAGAAGTTGGTATAGCTGATTATGGGCTAAATAAGGATGACATTATTTTGGTCATTATGACTGACCTGCAGGCCAAAATGTTAATGGAATTTGGCGCTGACAAACTATGCGTTGACGGAACCCATGGGACAAATGGCTATGGTTATCATTTACACACTCTGGTAGTTGTAGATGAATTTGGAAGCGGAATACCTGTTGCGTTTTGTTTCTCCAACAGGCAGGATGAAGTCATTTTGAAAATATTTTTCCAAGAAATTTATAAGTCAGTAGGGTTAATAAAGACAACAACGTTTATGACTGATGACGCGCCAGCATATTTTAATGCTTGGTCTCATGTCATGGGAATACCAGAAAATAAATTGTTATGCTCCTGGCATGTGTCCAGGAGTTGGAAAAGAGCAACGGCACTCAAGATTAGAAATCGACAGAAAGAAAGAGCAGTATATAATAAATTACTAAAAATTAAAATGATTTTGGACGAGAAAGACTTCCATTTCAAATTAGATGCCTTTTTAATTGAGCTTGAACGTGATACATCCACCATAAATTTTGTTAAATATTTTAAAAAAACATATTATAATAGAGTGAAAACCTGGGCATACTGTTACAGGAAAGGCTTGGGCATAAATACAAACATGTTCTTGGAGAGCTATCATAATCAGATAAAGAGTCAGATTTTGAAGAGAAGATGCTCGAGGCGAATGGATATAGCTATAAACACAGTGTTAAAATGGAAGAGCAAGCTTTTCATCAAAGACTTCGTAGATTGAATGGTTCTTTGATATCAACGAGACAGAAGGACTCAAACGTTTGTCACACTGAAAGTGCAAAACTGCTGCCTGAACAAATTAAGAACACCAGACTGAATAGAGAATGGGAGGTTCTATCTTCAAACGATAGTCTCCCACCATATGTTGTTAAACAAACAAATGAAACATGCAATACAACTTGCATGCGATGTGAAACATGTATGATATGCTTTCATACATACTCTTGCACTTGCATAGATTATGTGGTAAGATCCATCATTTGCCAACATATTCATGCATGTGTAAGAGTATTTCCAATTGATACTGGATACAGACGTGCGGTTCTGGAAGCAGTGATGCACGAAAAATCTGAACAGTTAAGAGACTTAGAAGAATCACACAATGAAATTGACAAAGAACCTGAAGATCAGATCTGTACTATGTTAAAACTAACTGGCGAAATTGAAAATGCCATAAAAAATGGACAGGTTGTTGATAGTGCACTATGCATAAAAAATTTAACCACAATCCTAAACCAAATGTCCTCATTTAAAGAAAGTAATGGAGTTCGCACATATAAAAAAATGGAGTGTCAAAGAATGAATGCAAATAACAAGAAGGCTTAAATTGCTATTTAAATATTTAATTTATTTAAATTATTTTATTTATTTATTTATTTATTTATTTTTTATATTGTGAAGCAATCAATCTATTGCAATATCATATATTGTCCTTTCGACAAATCGAAAGTGATGACAGTATCAAAAAGAGATGATAAAGACAACAACATTTGTGACTGATGACGCACCAGCATATTTCAATGTTTGGTCTCATGTCATGGGAACACCAGAAAATAAATTGTTATGCTCCTGGCTTGTGAGATAATAAAGATAACAACATTTGTGACTGATGACGCACCAGCATATTTCAATGTTTGGTCTCATGTCATGGGAACACCAGAAAATAATTGTTATGCTCCTGGCTTGTGAGATAAAAAGATAACAACATTTGTGACTGATGACGCACCAGCATATTTCAATGTTTGGTCTCATGTCATGGGAACACCAGAAAATAAATGTTATGCTCCTGCTTGTGAGATAATAAAGATAACAACATTTGTGACTGATGACGCACCAGCATATTCAATGTTTGGTCTCATGTCATGGGAACACCAGAAAATAAATTGTTATGCTCCTGGCTTGTGAGATAATAAAGATAACAACATTTGTGACTGATGACGCACCAGCATATTTCAATGTTTGGTCTCATGTCATGGGAACACCAGAAAATAAATTGTTATGCTCCTGGCTTGTGAGATAATAAAGATAACAACATTTGTGACTGATGACGCACCAGCATATTTCAATGTTTGGTCTCATGTCATGGGAACACCAGAAAAAATAAATTGTTATGCTCCTGGCTTGTGAGATAATAAAGATAACAACATTTGTGACTGATGACGCACCAGCATATTTCAATGTTTGGTCTCATGTCATGGGAACACCAGAAAATAAATTGTTATGCTCCTGGCTTGTGAGATAATAAAGATAACAACATTTGTGACTGATGACGCACCAGCATATTTCAATGTTTGGTCTCATGTCATGGGAACACCAGAAAATAAATTGTTATGCTCCTGGCTTGTGAGATAATAAAGATAACAACATTTGTGACTGATGACGCACCAGCATATTTCAATGTTTGGTCTCATGTCATGGGAACACCAGAAAATAAATTGTTATGCTCCTGGCTTGTGAGATAATAAAGATAACAACATTTGTGACTGATGACGCACCAGCATATTTCAATGTTTGGTCTCATGTCATGGGAACACCAGAAAATAAATTGTTATGCTCCTGGCTTGTGAGATAATAAGATAACAACATTTGTGACTGATGACGCACCAGCATATTTCAATGTTTGGTCTCATGTCATGGGAACACCAGAAAATAAATTGTTATGCTCCTGGCTTGTGAGATAATAAAGATAACAACATTTGTGACTGATGACGCACCAGCATATTTCAATGTTTGGTCTCATGTCATGGGAACACCAGAAAATAAATTGTTATGCTCCTGGCTTGTGAGATAATAAAGATAACAACATTTGTGACTGATGACGCACAGCATATTTCAATGTTTGGTCTCATGTCATGGGAACACCAGAAAATAAATTGTTATGCTCCTGGCTTGTGAGATAATAAAGATAACAACATTTGTGACTGATGACGCACCAGCATATTTCAATGTTTGGTCTCATGTCATGGGAACACCAGAAAATAAATTGTTATGCTCCTGGCTTGTGAGATAATAAAGATAACAACATTTGTGACTGATGACGCACCAGCATATTTCAATGTTTGGTCTCATGTCATGGGAACACCAGAAAATAAATTGTTATGCTCCTGGCTTGTGAGATAATAAAGATAACAACATTTGTGACTGATGACGCACCAGCATATTTCAATGTTTGGTCTCATGTCATGGGAACACCAGAAAATAAATTGTTATGCTCCTGGCTTGTGAGATAATAAAGATAACAACATTTGTGACTGATGACGCACCAGCATATTTCAATGTTTGGTCTCATGTCATGGGAACACCAGAAAATAAATTGTTATGCTCCTGGCTTGTGAGATAATAAAGATAACAACATTTGTGACTGATGACGCACCAGCATATTTCAATGTTTGGTCTCATGTCATGGGAACACCAGAAAATAAATTGTTATGCTCCTGGCTTGTGAGATAAAAAGATAACAACATTTGTGACTGATGACGCACCAGCATATTTCAATGTTTGGTCTCATGTCATGGGAACACCAGAAAATAAATTGTTATGCTCCTGGCTGTGAGATAATAAAGATAACAACATTTGTGACTGATGACGCACCAGCATATTTCAATGTTTGGTCTCATGTCATGGGAACACCAGAAAATAAATTGTTATGCTCCTGGCTTGTGAGATAATAAAGATAACAACATTTGTGACTGATGACGCACCAGCATATTTCAATGTTTGGTCTCATGTCATGGGAACACCAGAAAATAAATTGTTATGCTCCTGGCTTGTGAGATAATAAAGATAACAACATTTGTGACTGATGACGCACCAGCATATTTCAATGTTTGGTCTCATGTCATGGGAACACCAGAAAATAAATTGTTATGCTCCTGGCTTGTGAGATAATAAAGATAACAACATTTGTGACTGATGACGCACCAGCATATTTCAATGTTTGGTCTCATGTCATGGGAACACCAGAAAATAAATGTTATGCTCCTGGCTTGTGAGATAATAAAGATAACAACATTTGTGACTGATGACGCACCAGCATATTTCAATGTTTGGTCTCATGTCATGGGAACACCAGAAAATAAATTGTTATGCTCCTGGCTTGTGAGATAATAAAGATAACAACATTTGTGACTGATGACGCACCAGCATATTTCAATGTTTGGTCTCATGTCATGGGAACACCAGAAAATAAATTGTTATGCATATTTTAATATAAGGGAAGAAGAAAATGCAGATGGTCGATGACTTACGAGACAAGAGAAAAAAGTATTCTATGTGTATGCATACACCACAAAACAGGTATGTACACTTTCATACATAGGGAACTGGTTTTATTCTCTTAAATATAATAACAATTAGGAAAAGAAACTATGGTGCAAGGCATCGTACCTTAAGGCAAATTGCTGGAACTTTTCGCACCGGAATTAAATATTCGAGGAAAAAAATCAGTAATCAATAAATATTGATTTTTGATTATAATAATTGTTTTAAACATTTTCAATTAGGTAATTATAATCCTATGTATTCTATATACATCTTTTTTTTTGTAAGATATGCCCAAATGTTCAGAAACCTTTGAAACGTAAAGATAGGACTGATTAGTTCAATGACAATTAAGTCAAATGATAAAAGTGGTTGATTTATAAAATCTATATATCATTTTTCACTGTAATACCAGTTCCCTAATGTATTTTATATGATTCGGTCGATTATTTTTGAGGCTTGTTGTGAATACATATGCTAATTAATAATTACTTGTCTAAAAATAATGTTTATAGATTTTCTCAATTTTGCTTTCAATTCATTTGTTTAACAACATATGGTGGGAATCTATCGTTTAAAGATAGAACCTCCATTCTCTATTCAGTCTGGTGTTCCTAATTTGTTCAGAATGTTTGAGTCCTTCTGCTCGTTGATAACAAAGTACCATTCAATCTTCGATGGTCTTTGATGAAAAGCTTGCTCTTCCATTTTTAACACTGTGTTTATAGCTATATCCATTCGCCTTAAGAATCTTCTCTTCAAAATCTGACTCTTTATCTGATTATGATAGCTCTCCAAGAACATGTTTGCATTTATGCCCAAGCCTTTCCTGTAACAGTATGCCCAAGTTTTGGTGGATGTATCACATTAAGGCTCAATTAAATAGGCATCTAATTTGGACTGGAAGTCTTCCTCGTCGTAATTTTTCATATACTGCTCTTTCTTTTTGTCGATTTCTAATCTTGAGTGCCGTTGCTCTTTTCCAACTCCTGGACACATGCCAGGAGCATAACAATTTATTTTCTGGTATTCCCATGACATGAGACCAAGCATTAAAATATGCTGGCGCGTCATCAGTCATAAACGTTGTTGTCTTTATTAACCCTACTGACTTATAAATTTCTTGGAAAAATATTTTCAAAATGACTTCATCCTGCCTTGGAGAAACAAAACGCAACAGGTATTCCGCTTCCAAATTCATCTACAACTACCAGAGTGTGTAAATGATAACCATAGCCATTTGTCCCATGGGTTCCGTCAACGCATAGTTTGTCAGCGCCAAATTCCATTAACATTTTGGCCTGCAGGTCAGTCATAATGACCAAAATAATGTCTTCCTTATTTAGCCCATAATCAGCTGTACCAACTTCTTTATAAAACAGAACTTGGAACTTTTTCTCAAGTTGCTTCTCTCTGACCCATATTCTCACGCTTACTTGATCATTAGGATTTCTGTGTGTCATATGTGGTTGGTAAAACACGTTTTTTGATGTACCATATATCCTTTCTTGTGATCAAGAAAGCCCTGCGGGGTAGCATATTATCACGTGCAGCACTACGTATACTGCTTATAATAACATCATCTGCAACTCCAGCCAGAATTTTATCTGTAAAAATTATAATATTAATTTTATAGTATTAATAAATCAATAATTCATACATTTAAATGTATACATAAGTATGTATGGGTGCGTAAATTAATACACAGTAATGTATAAATGTACCTTCAATTATCTTTTGCAAATGTTTGTCGAGTGGAATATATTTTGCAAGATTCTCGTGTCCCACATGCGTCTTCCAGTGCATGGCTTAATTACACCATCACTATAATGCGTAGTACGGATTCGAGAAGGACACGCCTTTCCGATTTTTTTGGATGCCCTTGAAATTTTCCCTTTTCTCTTTTTATTGCTATATGAGCGGTGGCAATCGTAAAAAATAATTTTGTTCCCATCTTTAATTTTGTACCCAGATTTATCTATTACATATCGAGTAACATCCCTCTGCTCAATTTTATTTTTCCATGATTGAAAATCTATATAAAAATACCAAATAATAGAAAAGTGCATTGACAAAGTCTATAATCGAAAATGAACAAACCATTAAAAGAAGAAAATGTCATTTCTTCATGTTCGATGTGGATGGTGTGATCAACTTCGATATGTTGATGTAAGGCATTGTATCTGGAAAAACAACCTTTGACAATTCTGAAGGGGGCACAAGATCCTAGATTTCCTTTGAGTACCTATTAAAACATAATATTATTACTGTTTGCTGCACCATTGTTTAATAACATGTTTGGTACACATACCTGAAATATAGTTTATCTGCTGTTGAACACTGGTGCAAGAAGTGGATTGTGTGGCAATGGAGTTGATGATGTTGGTAGAAGTTGATGGTGTCGGTGAAATGGAGGCAGCATATGAATGAAAAGCAAGAGAAAGGGCAATGGAGTCTGTAGCAATGGAGTCTGTAGCAATGGAGTCTGTAGCAATGGATTCTGCAGCAATGGAGTCAGTTGCAAAAGTTGGTGGTGTCGGTGAAATTGAGGCAGCATAGGAATGAAGGGCGACAGATGTTCTAGGGTTGATGCGGAAATTATTGAAGTAGGTGTTGTAGGTGATATGATCGGAATGAACTGTTTGAATATGTGAGGAAGAATTTGATGAGTGAGTGTCAGTGGCTAGAACAGAATTGGGAGCAGATGGTTGAAGAGGAATGGTAGGATGAAAGTGTATTATATGTTTTTTCAAAGCAGATCTCGAATGCAAAGCCTTACTGCAATAGATGCATTGAAATGTTCGATCGAAATGCATGGGTTCTTTCCCATGCTTGGCCCTAATATGGCGATATAAAGAACTGTTTGTTTTAAATACTGTAGAACAGTACAAACAGGTTTTAGTAGCCGTAATATCCATAATAAAAAAAAAATGTTGATTATGTAGACATAATAAGGTAATGAAACGTAAGTGCTGTACCTTAAAATGAATAAACAATAAAATAATGAATGAAATTAAAAGAATAACCTAACGTAAGTGGTAATCAGTAAAAAGTGAATAAAAGGAAGCTTATAACTAAAGTGATATACCCTAAATTGATAAAGTAAAGTGAATAACCTAAGTGATAGCCTAAAGTGAATAATCTAAGTGCTAGTCTAAAGTGAATAACCTAAGTGATAGCCTAAAGTGAATAATCTAAGTGCTAGCCTAAAGTGATTAAAGTAAAGTAAGTAAAGTAAATGTAAGTGATTAAAGTAAATTTAAGAATCTAATAATAGTATAGTTAAGAATGTAAGCGATTTAAGTAAAGTTAAGAATGTAAGGGATTAAAGTAAAGTTAATCTAAGTGATAAAACTAAAGTTAAGAATCTATGTGAATAAAGTAAATTAATCGGCTAAAATTAAAGGCTAAAAACAGAATGAAACTAAAAGCTAATGGGATGAAAAAACTCGCGTCTCTTGCTGGAGAGAAACTAACCTATTCCCTATAGAAGGTCTTGAATCCCGCAATAAAACAAGAAATATAAAATGTAAAGAAATAAAATAACGCACAATCAACAAAAGCACAAAATGATTAGTACACGTAGCAAAAAAACGAAATGAAAGAAAACGCGAATAAAAAATATAAAATACGATACAAACGAGTTACACAATAAGCACGCCGAAAAAAAAATTATAGTAATGAAGTAATCGTAACAGCGAATCCAACATAAAAAAGTTGAAAGCACAGTGCAAAAGATTTGACAAATCTGTAATGTGTTACAGCTAACTTCAGCTTTCTCAGCACTTTATTAATCCGGTATTTAGAAACTCCGATAGACGATAGTCCTCATCGAGATACATCAAATGGCTTTTAAATTTTTGAAATCGGTCCAGCCGTTCTGGAGAAAACGTCGATTTACGGCAAAAAATCTGTTCACACACACACACACACACATACATACACACACACACACACACATACTTTTTCCAAATTTGGTCTCATTCGATTCAGAATGGCTTGAAACGTCGAGAAAACATAAAATTAGCGAATCGGATTTTTTGATGAAAACATAAACTTCTCCTTCGGGAAGTTAAAAACCGCGATATTTGTGACCTTTGACCCCGAAATTTAATAGTTGCGCACACCCTACCATATGTAGGTTTTGAGACAACTTTTAGGGTGTCAATATACAACTATTTACAAACTTACAGCTGGGTATCTCACAATCCGCGGTGAAATGCTAAAATGACTGGACTATTTGAGCAAAACATTCGATTCGTACTTTCGTTCGTGACATTCGACTTCGTAATTTAGTTCATGAGAGAACAAAGCGTCCGATTTAAGTAATTTAAAAAACATTTTATTTGTATTGACCAAACGAAGAACTCTTTTTGGAATGACAGGTCTAGCGGTTACAGAGATTCAATAAGAAAAAGTAAAAAAATGACTTTTGGCGGTCCAAAATGTTTATTAGACATATTCACGTCAAATTAACTAATATTTTCTAGAGATTTTAGTAATAAGAACAAATATAATTTACATTTATATGGGTTCCGTATCAATGTCTATCCGTTAGACTGCAACGCGACGCTTACGCGCTTTGATATTTCGTTTCCAAAACAGCTGCGCAGCGCGATTGATTTGAAAAAAGTTACAAATTTTCGAAAAATTTCAAAATAAAAAAAAAATTAAAAAAAGTCAATTTTTTTCAAAATTTTCGAAATTCTCAAAAATATATTTTTTTCAGATCGCAAAAAATTTTAAATCATTTTAAAAATTTTATGTTTCGGTACGGGAAGTCCCAGCAATTTGCCTTAAGGCACGAAAACTACTATTTGACTGACTTATAATTGAAAGGGCGGCAATCTGGAGATCGCCCCGGGCGGCAAAAGTTCTAGGTACGCCACTCAGAATAACCGAACTTTCTTTTTACCATAACAAATTACTAAAAAAAATATTGATTGAATGACCAAAAGTAATGTAACTAATTATGACTTGCCTGAAACTTTGCCCGAATTGTCAGAAAAAACACTAAAACTTGCCTAAAACTTTGCCCGAATCGTCAAAAAAAACACTAAAACTTGCCTGAAACTTTGCCCGAATCGTTAGAAAAACACTAAAACTTGGCTGAAACTTTGCCCGAATCGTCAGAAAAACACTAAAACTTGCCTGAAACTTTGCCCGAATCGTCAGAAAAACACTAAAACTTGCCTAAAACTTTGCCCGAATCGTCAAAAAAGCACTAAAACTTGCCTGAAACTTTGCCCGAATCGTTAGAAAAACACTAAAACTTGGCTGAAACTTTGCCCGTATCGTCAGAAAAACACTAAAACTTGCCTGAAACTTTGCCCGAATCGCCAGAAAAACACTAAAACTTGCCTGAAACTTTGCCCGAATCGTTAGAAAAACACTAAAACTTGCCTGAAACTTTGCCCGAATCGTCAGAAAAACACTAAAACTTGGCTAAAACTTTGCCCGAATCGTCAGAAAAACACTAAAACTTGGCTGAAACTTTGCCCGAATCGTCAGAAAAACACTAAAACTTGCCTGAAACTTTGCCCGAATCGTCAGAAAAACACTAAAACTTGCCTGAAACTTTGCCCGAATCGTCAGAAAAACACTAAAACTTGCCTGAAACTTTGCCCGAATCGTCAGAAAAACACTAAAACTTGCAGATGACGAAAGTTGCAATTCTAATAAGGTAAACTAATTTATCCACATAAAAGAGTTGTTTTTAAAGTTAAAATTTGATTTGTGTTTTGTAGAGCTTTGAATTGCCAATTATAGTCCATGTAGAAAGTACTTCGAAAAATGAAAATGCTGATTATCAAAAAAATGGAATTATAAAGAAGATAGGTGATTGTACTCTTACTTTAAGGAAACATCGAACATCTGATGTCATTGAAATCATTGAGGATAGTGATGATGAAAGTAAATACAACAATAGTTTACAAAAGACAATTGAATCTAATGATAGGTTATTTGTTACTTCATCTATAGAAACAAACCACCAGAATGTTAGCTGTTCAGTTAATGCAAGAGTTCCATTATTGTCTTTAAAAAGCAATAATGATATTCAAACAACAAAAATTAATATATCTGCAACACCAAACATTAGAAAATCAAATAATTTGGTAATTGGAAATAGTAAAATCACTGATAAGAAACATATTACACCAAAAAATTAGAAGAAAACATCATATCATTGATAGAAGATTCAGACAGCGATACAGAACCAATTTCAAGTAAAAAACCCAAGTTAGAACTTAAGAGTAAATTTAAGGAAGAGAGAACTCTGCCTTTGATAGCATTCGTCAAGGATAAACCTGAAGAATCAACAAATCATGTAGATAAAATTAAAAAAATAAATGATGTATCAACAATTAATTCTGTGGTAAAGGTAAAGACGGAAACAATCAAGAAAAATGCTGATTTACGAACTGAAAAATCAAATAGTATTAATGAGGCTGCAATTCACAGAAATGATGAGGCTTTTAAAAACTTTCTACAAGCATGTAAAGAAGTTGAAAATAGTGATCGAATGAATTTAATCATTGAGAAAATTCAAAAGTACCATAATAATGCTCATTCAGATTACATAAAATCGAATTCATTTTATGATTTAATTCAACGATCCATAGAATCAATAATAAACAGTAAAAATTATTACCTGTATATAAAAGATTTTATAGAAGAATTACGGGCCAGAAAAGTGACCGTAAAAGCAGAAAGTACTACAAGTGCCACTGAATGTGATGATAACAGGTTAGATCCCATAAGCAAAAATAAGGAAGAAAAAATTCACAGACTTGAAAGTGCATTGAGAAAAATAATTAAGATATTAAAGAATCTAGAAGAAAAAGAAGTTGATTTTGACGATGAATATGATTCTACATATCTGCTACAAGATAGATATGAACGTCGAATGATAAAAGTAATTATTTTTATTAATTCTTTTGTTTATTAATTTTTTGTTAGATAACTGTGTTTTTATATTGCCAAAATATAACTTATAATGTGCTGGGCGTTGCATTTTAAACTCATGTAGGGAATTCCAATTGAATGTTTTCATTTCACTGCTGAAATAATGATAATTATTATTATTTAAACCTTTATTGTTGAAACTATAAAGAATTATATTTTTTTACTTATTGATTTAGATCTACAATAAACTCTGTGAAATAACTGGTGAACAGCCAAGTGCAGGCCGTGCAATAAAACGTAAAATTTATGTAGCAATCAGTACTCACCAATCCATTAACAAGGCTGTTCAAGATTTTGTTAATAAAAAAAAGGAGTTTCCTAATTATCAAGATATTCTGAAAATTGTAAAATCGTCCAATGAACTAGAGTCATTAAAAATGAGTAATGCTGCTGAAGCACTTGAAGGTAAAATAAAAAGGCATTTTTTTGTCTTTTTTTTCTTAATGATTTCAATCTTTTAGCCCGGAAAGTTTTTGAGCACATAGGAAGTGAATTGCAGAGGAGGCGGCAAGCAGATTATTATTTATCAATATTAGATTATCTTCAAAGTGAAACTGATCCTGCTGAAAAAGATCCTTCTCTTAAAAATCAACTTAAGAAAAATTATGATGAGAATAAACATAAAATTCCGGAAATAATTAATAAGTATGTAAAGTAACTATTTAAATAGGAAAATATTGCTATAACTGAGCAAATGAGATTGTTTGCATTTTATGACTATTTGTTAAATAAGCAATGATAATTCAAATACATATTTATTTTTTTCACAATTAGAATTACTCGAATTCACTTAATTTTATTTTGTTATGTTTAGGTATGTAGAGAAGGCTGAAAGCATAGGCTTGAAAGAAAAAGAGGTCGATAGTGATCAAGCAAAGAGCGATGACGAAAAGGAATCTGAAGCAGAAGAAAGCGATGGCTCTAGTGCAGATATTATTTAAAACTAAAAAATATAAATTTTATTTTCATGACCATAGATTTTATTAAAACTTTAATGATAATTTAGGACTTTAATAATTAGGACAAATTTTGTTATTGATTTGCCATAAATAAAAATGAGTTTAGCTGAAAAATAATTAAAAAGCTTCATTTTCAATGAGTTTGTATAATTTTATAAACGTACAAAATTTATAAAGTTTAATGTAAAAAATAAAATATTCTTCAGATACATAACAAAAATAAAAATCACTCAATTCACTTCATAACATCTTTAAACTAATTGTATCTTGAATATCTTTAAAGAAGAGTATTATAGCAGAGCATTCAACGATTTCATAGTCATTCTAAATTTCAATCAAATTCGTCACAATACTTTGATAATTTAGTTCACAGTATGACTGTGTTCGTATCAGCCTCCAAACCCAGATCATTAATCAACTCTCTGAATATATTTGGATGTAGATTTTTATACAACTGTTGTAAAATAAACCAATCGCCTACATGACATGAATATACTAAATTGCGAATAACACCTTTGGAAATGCTGCAAATAATTAAATGGTTAAAATTTTTACAGTAGTGATTGAAGAGAGAAATGTGAAAAAGGTGTGTGATCTATAATGGATTCTCAATAAATAAACAGTTTATGAATTCAAAAGCTATACAAAATATAATTGTTGTATTTTTATACATTTAAAAAAAATGGACTGATTTAATCAAGAAAAATATGTACTTGGTGGTTGAATTTATTTAAATTTATGTATCTTACATACTTCTTTGTTTGAGCCATTAGTAGCCACACTCGCACTTCTGGACAACAGAATACAACCGCTCTATATATCAAAGCTAGGCCTGACAATAATGCTAATCCGACAAACCAAAACCAGAGAACTGCATATAGCTTTTCATTAACAATGTTCAATGGTAGAACACACAAAGCATCTTTGATCTGTTTAGTTCCTGATGGACCAATATCAGTGAATGAACATTTTGCTGTCTTCGGGAATATCTAGTAAAAATTTCATTATTAATTATTACTCTCTGAGCATTGTAAAATAATTTTACTTACTCTTGACATAGGATCATTATCTGACCAGTATGTGCTGGTCATTATATTTTCACTTAAAAACACCGAAACAGCAGGTCCATAATTTGCAAACTCACCACCCAAGAAGAGATTAACGATAAAGAATTGTCCCACCTCAGAGAAAAAATTGATGCGGATTAATTCATTTATATTATTTCACTAAATTGTAGGGTTTCTTTTTTTATTACAAGTACTTCAATTATAGAACTTTATGTAATAATAATTCTATTAATATTGAAATAAAATAGTTCTATTGTTAGATTTTATATGAGAGTGAAGTTATAATTCTGACTCATGATTATTAATTCTTCCATCTACTTTTTATAACTAAATATTTCATTATCTCATTAAAGTAGCAGAAATTTTATTTTTGCAATACATACCACATTTCCAAAATTGAGTATTTCACAAATAACAAATCGAATAGCATAAAATGCATGAGTCGCTTTATTCAGTTCAGAAAGATAACTAACTAAGTAATTTCTCCTAGCGGTTGTCCATTGTTCTTGAGACACTAAAGGACCCACTGTATAAAATAAATATATCATTCATTTTCAATAATAATATGCAACATGAAAATAACTTGCTATTGACAAAAATAAACTGATACATCAGTTCTCTCAAAAACTCCAATCGTATTACAAACTTCAAGCACTGATATAACAGTGTATTTGAATTAAAACGCTTTAATACAGCATCAAAACAAATTTCTCATTGTTAAGTTTAAAACTCGTACATAAATCTCAGATGCATTAAAAATTTTATATAATAAACATTTCTATAATAAACTTACCGAGATCCTGAGTTAAAGCCTTAATTCTTCCATTTTCCCAGCATTTCCACATATATCTGGGAATATAAAACATTACAGCTTGTAGGACGAGCACGATACTAACCCATTGATAGTATTTGTGATGTAATTCTTGTGTAACTAAAAATTATGCAAAAAACATTTAAATTAAAAATATAAATAGAACTACAAATCTTATCGGCTCAATATTTTACTATATTTTAAAATGAATGTGGATTAAAATCAGAACAAATACTTCTGTAAAATACACAAGTAGTGACTGAGTAATAAAAAGACAACACACAATAAAATTTGTATGAATTGTATTCAAAAATTTTAAGCTATAATTAATCTCGTGAAGTATTGTTGAATACAACAGTAGAATATAGTGATTAATTAAAGTGTGGATTTATTTTATTTAATGCCTATAGAACATATAGCAAAATTTACAATTTTGACAGCATAATAATGATTCCTGGGGTATCCAAATTTCATCATGTTGGCTTAATAATATAATATTTAGTTCATGTATATTATGCCTTTCAAAAATGTTACCAAAATGTTGCTAGTGTAGATGTAGTTTCAATTATACATATCTTTAGAGTTCAAACAATATTATAACTAATTAGGGTAAACAACTTACTGCCATTATGATCAGTAATAGTATAAGTACTGAATATCCAGCAAAACGTATTGAAAGTCTCTCTTTTTATACCAGCAGTGCTAATACAATCAATAGGATCCCCAATGTATTGTTTCGACGTAACCAATATCGAAAACACTATTAACAATATAACTGTGGCCTTATAATGGAGTCGAAACACATTATTGTCAATACATATGTTGTCTAGCTTGAGATGCTTAAGTACAGGATTGAAAACATTTATCATTTTGAAGTATTTTATTTACAACCATATCACTTGAAATGCGTTGTACAAAATATTTTTCCACATGCGTTTAAAACTTAACCGGATTTACTCGCCAATCGCAATAGAGGCGCTGCAGAGCTGTGAAGTGAAAGGCACCCTACCCGTACGGGTAGTGTTGCCTCGGACACGAATGAATGAAAACGTTCGAAAATGGTTCGAAACTATGGTTCGTTTCATATTTAATATTTTTTAGCTTTTCGTTATGATTCATTCTTTTTGTGTTTATTTTTTTATGTCCGTTCAAGTTTATTCGCCTTGGCTTTTTGATTACGCGCCTATTTACTTCTTATTTTAATTTTTACATTTTAGGGTTATGTTTTAGGATTCTTTTCATTCAAAGATCATTTTAGTCTAGCTTAGATTTTATACAATGTTTTAGTTATAATTTTGTTTTAAAAAATAATTTAGGCTTACGTTTTACGCATAGGGTTACATTTTATTCATTATTTTTGTTAGGGTTACGTTGTATACATTATTAGGTTTGGTTTCGATCTTAAACTTAATTCAGTGGAAGCTAACTAAAACTCAGGCTAAAACTCAACAAACAACAAATAGGGAACGGGCAAGCTCATAAAAATGTCAGTGAAAACGCCATGACTTCTCGGGGTGGCGAAAAAGTGCAAACACGGTGCCCAAACAAGATGGCGTTTGACAGGTTTTATTTTATAGAAACTGTGGTCTATATATAATATATTTTATTTATAATGAAATAGTAACAACACTATGTGCGATTATATTTATTATTTATAAAATGTACATAATATTTTAGTATTGAAAATGAAAAGGAAAGTATTGTAATTTATGATGTTGACTGTTCGGCAGCAGACGGAAGAGAGAGTTCCGACCCTAAAGCTTGCACTTTGGTTCTCGCGTAGTGTTGCCAACATGATGAGCCAAAGATAATGTTTAACTGTCAAATTGAGGTGCGATGTGGGTTGCCAGGTCGCTACAGATCACTCCCCCCCGGCGAAAAGTTTATCTTGAACTTCGGGCTGCCATCTTGAATTTTCTTGTAAATTTTTGTTGAGTTTTTTTTTTTTTTTTAAGTTTTTGTTTGATTAATTTTTGTTTGTTTGTGGCCGTGGCCGTTTTTGCTGGCGGTCGCCATGTTGTTTGGTGCATCGTTTGCTTGCTTGTGGCCGTGGCCGTTTTGTATGGCGGTTGCTGCCATGTTTGCTTGGTGCGTTGTTCGCTTGCTTGTGGCCGTTTTGTATGGCGTTTGCCATGTTTGCTTGGTGCGTTGTTCGCTTGATTGTAGCCGTGTGGTATGACGTTTGCCATGTTTGCTTGGTGCTCCCTGTCTGCTGCCGTGGTGCTTATAATCGACTCATTTTCCAGGTTAATGAGTGATTTATTGAGCACGTGTTGTTGTTGATCTCGATGTGCGTAGTCGGAGTCTCCATTGTAGGTACTAGAACGTTCTGTATTTCTTGCTCACTTGTAAATTATGCACATGTTTCACTTTCTTCTCACTTTATGCGTGTTTTTTATTCACTTTCGGGGTCACCAATTATAGAAACTGTGGTGCATTATTAAATTTATTTTAATCACGTCGGGGTCATCAATTATAGAAACTGTTCGGCAGCAGACGGAAGAGAGAGTTCCGACCCTAAAGCTTGCACTTTGGTTCTCGCGTAGTGTTGCCAACATGATGAGCCAAAGATAATTTTAACTGTCAAATTGAGGTGCGATGTGGGTTGCCAGGTCGCTACAATTTCGTATTTTGACAGGTTTTATTCAACCTTATGTGCTTGTTAAAGATGGTTATTGCTTCTTATAATCGCAGTTTTTATCTATTTCTAATAATAATGCGGCATATCTGAGTCACCAATCATGTGCGTATATTAAGTGAAGAAAGCGCATGAATAAGAAAGTTAATTTTGTTATAATTAACGTTAGAAGAAATAAATTGCTTCGTTGGATAGATTCATTGAGGTATGTACTCATAATTAAAATGTATTTGCTATTGACCACCATATTAAAACAAACATGTGTTGCTTAAAGGTATGATAAAATTTTCAGACAAGGCCATAAGATATTTTATGATTTGCATGTTGTGTTATCAGCTGAACAAAGTTTAGATCTTTCTATTAGTACTTTGTTGCAGAATGAATCTCATATTTGATAGGATGTCAGGACTTACAGGATTTCTACACTGCAATTTGATTTGATTTAATTGTTTTGTATTATTGCATT